TGAACCTGAAAATCAAACTGAACTAAAAATCACAACTGAAAAATATTACATGCCAATTATCAGAAGGCAGAAGAGGTAACCTATGCATTCCATGACAGCAGTTCAGCAGATTTTGTGTTTATTTAAACTATGTATGCACTGTTAACTTAATATGACAGCCCTCAATTAGTATTAAGCAAGTGGTCTGATAAGACTGGAACAGTTTTTCTGTCTCATGCTCAGAAATCAGTTAGCAGGACCAATTTAAAGTATATGCTCCATTATAAATGCGAGGAAGGAATAGTCTGCTCCCTGCTTCACGTGTGGGAATAAAAAGAGTAATTAATAAAGTGTGAGTTAAAACTGAGGTAAAGCACATGAACTCTGACTTCATCAACAACTTCTTATTCTCTGTGAGCAATATTTTGCCAAAATATTAGAAACTGTTAATCTGTGGTTACATTTCAGCCATTGTCAGAGGCATTGCCAGCTCTTGAGGCAAAAAATTAAGGTTTCCAGGGCATTGAAAAAAGGTTATGAAAATAATATAGGAAGAAAGTATGAGTTCTCAGAAGTGAGCTCATAAACTAAATTTATTATTAAACATGCTTTTGAAGTATATGGAAACTATGAAAAATGACAGTGTTATAACTAACCCTCCCCCAAACAAACATGATAATATTAAGAAGTATCATGTGTAATTGAAATGAAACTGGGTAGTAAGCAAAAAGGAGAGCTGTCTATTAAATCTTTCCTATTATTTAAAGTAAAATTGTGGAAAGAATCAGTTCTCAAGGGAGTTTTAATTTTTTCTCAGTGGCAGTAATCTCATGTCACCCTAGTAATTTTTTTAAATACGTTGCCAAAATTTGCACCTCTTCCTGGTTAAGCTGAATATTTAGGTATGAAATTAAGAGTATGAATAAAGTGGCCAGATTTTCTAATGTGTTTTACAGCTGCAATTCCTGCTTATTTGCATGGCATTTGTGGATGGCAAGTGGTTAATGATAACCAAGCTATTTATATTAACTACTTGATAGTGGGTTTTGGAGCCTAACTTCAGTTGCATGCAAGTGTTTGAATTATTTTTGTTAGGAATATTATCCTGATAAGACATCCATTTAAATGGAGAGATTTTACAACACATCTGTACTGCAAAATCAAGGTAAATCAGTTTGTGGTCTTCCTGTATTTCTTCCTATCCCACCAGAGGACCAGCTGATGGGCAAGCCACCATCTGCTTACATGAGTGGCATTAGCTTTCTGTCCCCTAGTTTCTCTCTTAAGAAACTACTCTTCACATCTCCTAAGGGTTTTAATGCAGTTTAGCTCATTAATACTGGAACTGTACTTCGTGATTACAGGAAGAAAATGCTATGATATGACTGCTCTTGTCTCAATGTATCACAATCAATTCCTGAATGGAAGAACATAAAATATTAAACATCCAATATATTACTCCAGTCCATAGGGTAATTTGGGTATTAGTTTAAAAAAAATAAATCACATCTCCCCTTCCAAATGTAAATATTCCAATACAGTACCATGAAGAAATATTATTATTCAGTAACAATGTATGCTTTGGGTATTTAAATGTTTTTTTCCAACCAAGCACACATTTCCATGATCAGTTCCTTTTAGGAGAAAAAAACTCAACTTTTATTTGCTGGAGAGAGAATATGCAGAAATATTTAAAAGGATTTTACAACATTTTCTTAGGATTTTTCTTACAAAGTTATTTTCTTTAACACAGAGTTATTACAGTTATTAGAATAGGCTACACAAATAGTAGACTATATAAGCAAAATATAAGTGACAAAACTATGGTATGGTTGAAAAGTTGATACAATGTTACTATGTTAAGCAATCCAGATAATATCCAGAATATGTTTGTGCAGTTTGAATACTACTGACGCTCAACACTAAGCTGAACAGGAGCTTTTTCTGGAGCAAAAGGTTTCAGAAACGATGGAAGGTTGTAGTGTTGTACACAGACTGTTGCAGTGATTTCCTTTGCTGCACTGGGTTTCATGTAAAGTTTTCAACATGCTATTGTTCTTGCAGTACATGAATATTTCTGCAGAGGCACACTACTAATGAAGAGGCTTTGAAGAATAACAATAGTTACACGGTCGTACCACTGTGACGAGACAGAATAGTCCTTGCAGAGCCCAAACCCCACAGCAGACCTCTTTGGTTCAGCAAGGCCCTTTAGTTTGAACTCACTGCTCCAGCTGTTTGGTTTGAATTTTAGTCTGCCTTTTTAATCTCCCTATTTCCGTGTCCTGATCCTACTGGCTCCTTTGGGGAGCTTTACTGAGCTGTCACACAGTCTCACGGGATAGGCAGGGAGTGGTACCTGCATAAGAGCTAGGCAAAATCTCGAAAGTGCTGAAATAAACACCTTGGCAAATCTATCCACCTACTTTTTTTTTTTTTTTTTTTTTCAGTGCACATTACTCAATTGTATAATTTTAAGATTTGAAATGAAAATGTAACATCACAAAATGCTCTAAAATCTTGGAAATTCTATATGAAGATATGAGCTATGCAGACCATCTCTGCAACCTGGACTGAAGCACAAAAATGAGTTCCATCAGCAAAGCAAGAGCCATAGAATTATCATTTTTATGCAGCTATGATCACAGGATACTTGCAGATCTGTCATGGTGCCTAAGCCCATAGTTGCAGAGGCAGAAGAAGGATTCAGGAGCCTTGGGTATACGCAAGTGCTGGTTTTAGGACTCTGGAGAGTTTTGGAGAACCAAATCTTCCCCTGTATATCACATACACCTAGGCGCAGACTTTCAGAAAAGTTCTCTTTCTAAGTATAGAAATGAAGATGTTGGTGCTCATTTTGGCTCTGATTGTCATATTTGTGACCCGTTTTTTAAAAAACACTCGGTATCCAATACAATGAATAATACTGAAAATCTGGTCTCTTACAGTAAAGCCTAATGGGAAGCTTAAGGCAGTATGAGAACGGTGTAGGTGGGAACTTCAATTTTGTCCAGTAATAGTGTAATAACTTGCTTTGCTGGAGCGACAGAAAATCCCTGAGGAAGTTGTGATCCTATGTAAAGTACGCATTGTTTCTGTCTGATGTTCTATACTTTTCAGCCAAATATTCTAGGGGAAATCCTGCTTTCTCTGATAAAACTTCTGCAACTTTTCATGTGATCAGGAATTCATCTGCACTTTGCAGTTGTAGTATAATAACCATGTGGATAAAGTGTAACTTGAATGAGTATTAGTGTTCCAAAAACGGTAGTAATCCTTGCTATTTTTTCCGATTCTTCAAAATAAAATTATTTCAGTTCACACATCTACTCTCTTGGTTCATATCATGCTACTGACTCTGTACCTATTGAAATAGCTGTAACGTAAATACATTTCTTAAGAAGACAAATGTGTAATGATGACACTTTTCTGTTTATTTGCATTTACAGTATCTCCTAAATATCCGTGTCATCTCCTCAATTTTGACAGGAGATAGATGGTATTTGGATAAGACATGACATTTTGAATAATATTACAAACATCTGTTTACAATGTCTATCAAGCTGGGATTTGGAATACAGTATCTTAAAATGCCATAGATTGAAAAAATGTTTGGCACATAAAGTTAATATCTGAGGTATGTTTCTACTATGCAGGTTTTGCATTTTGGGACTCAAAACAACACCATCATTTTCAAAGGACAAACTCCCACTAATAGAAAATGATGTTGAAAGACACCGTAACATGCTCTCCATATTTGCACTTGCACTCATTTACAGTGTGGGTACTTAATCTCTGCTTTTAGTTTAGATATGCAAAAGTTAGGATACAAAGATTCCCTCTTTTGTATGTGAATTCTTTCATTTACAAATGCAAAATGTCATGTGCCAATGTGCCTGCACACCTTTAGCAATTTCATGTTTTCAGCACTGAACCCTTCGATTTCTATGTCTGTCTGTAGAATTAAATAGTGTTTTCTACTTAAAATTCCATGAAATACCAACTGAACGTTCTTCATCTTGTAAATGGAACTCCTTCATAGTCATAACTATGCATGTTAAAATGTAAAATATTTGTCTTGAGCTGGCTGAATTGTGTAATAAGTAAAGAATATGCCTGTATTTGTAGTTTAGAAGTGCTTTAAAACCAATATAGCAGAAAAGTGGTAAATACAGTGTTTTTCTCCATACTATTTGGCAGCTGGCTGCTGCTGTTCATCCTAATTCTGTCCAACAAATTTTCCCATGAGAAACCTGAAAGTGTGCATTGTTTTTAAGAGTATATGTGTGATTTGCTGTAAGACACTTTTCGGATGCCAACATTCTTCGTTTTAGAATGGAGGAATATATTGAAATCCAAATGATTGCATTATTTTGTTACAAACTACTAGAGACATAGTAGCCACAGGATCCTCAGTATTTTTGGAAAACCGCTAATGATTAAGAGTGATGAACTACCCTTTTGTCTTTTTGCTTGGTGAATTGGTATGTGCAAACTGGATTAATAGTATAGAAATAAAAGTAAAAAAAAATATGTAAAACTACTTATATTGTTTCTTCACTCAGATTTTGGTGCTTTCAAGAAGGTAAGGAATGTGCAGGTGAAACTTTTCTAAACGGGTCACTGAATTTGTATCTCCCACAACTTTGTCAGTATTTAGACACCAAGTTCACAGACAAGTAATGGTCTCACTACCTTTACCAAGCTTTTTTAATTTCTGAGACTTGCTTCAATTGAAAGGAATTGTAGACTTTAAGAAAACACTTTGGTTGGTGACTTCTTACCCAAAATATGCCTTTTTCAGCAGCTTATATAACGCTGGCGTGCAGCCAAGAGTCAGGTGTGTCAGCATAGCTCTCTGCCCAAATTAGTGTGCCCAAGTTAATGGCCCTTGCTGAGAAATCTAAGCTTTTTTATCCTTTCAGGATGATGCTTCCTTGCCTTTAACCTGCCCAATGAGAATTAAATGGTTTGCGTTTCTCATTTGCATCACGTACATCACCTATAATTTTTGCCCACAGATTTTCCACATGACGTACGATCTGGCCAGTGCTGTGGTGAGAATCTTTAATCTGATTGGAATGATGTTGCTGCTGTGCCACTGGGATGGCTGTCTGCAGTTTTTAGTACCGTTACTCCAGGATTTCCCACCAGATTGCTGGGTGTCCCTAAACGGTATGGTTGTAAGTATTGTTCATTTTTCATTGTGCTTTCTAAACATTTCTTTTCTAAACAGTTAGCTTCAGACTTAAGTGTAAAAATACATGCCTAGTAATACATTGCCCTGCAATTTATTCAAGGTTACTTTTGGGGTTTGTTGGCTGGCTTGCTAATGAATTAAAGTGGGTTTTTTTTGTAGTCCTCATCACTGATGAAATGATATTGACTCATTGTTAGTAAATGAGCCAGAAAATACTTTCAGTTTGAAGGCCATTTTAATTTATTAACCCTCGTTCCCTCAAAAAAGCTACCAAAAGAAATTTGGAAACACTCAGTTCACCACCGCTTTCAATTTAGGCTGTAGTTCCAGAATGCTCTTGGAGGTATTTTACTAGTGTTTATTTCATCTGATGTTGCTCTTAGTTTGTTTTGTAAATAACTTTTGGATCATCTCATGATCCCTTTACCAAAGTGTTCCCAATTTAACAGGCAACATATAAGCTATTTCTAAGTAAAATAAGATAAATAGATTTACTTCTATGATACTTTTTTGTGTGTGAACAGACTATTCAAGGACAGAATTTGGCTGTGCCTTATTTATAAGGAAGGGTGATGGTGTTCTGCTTGCTTGACATGTGCCTTAAAGATTGATGGCTGTGAAAAATTAAGTTGTTTTTATCAAGTCAGGTAATGAGGTAACACATTTTCATAGGAAATACACTGAAAAAGTTGTTGAAATGTGCCTATACCAGAAAGAAAAGACCCGAGCAACTCTCTCATTGACCATCTAGAAACGTGTCTCTCCAGTTTTTGCAATTTTAGAATCCATAAAACAGCACCTTTACTGTAGATGGGCATCATGCTCAATCCCACCTATTTCTATTGTAGAAACGTAACAGCATTTGTTCCTTGAAGAGCGTGATACTGCACATTACTGTGGGAGCTCGTTGACTAAGGTTGTCAGTCATACAGACAGGTATTTGCAGTCATCAAGCGACATCTTTAATGATAAGCAGCATGTTTGCTGACACCTCATTGTGCAGCTTTCCTAAAAAAACCATAGTGACATATCTTCAAAAACGGGATTGCTACGATAAAAGTAGGTCACCAGGATGCTGACTGGCACGTCTTTGCATTCTGCTGCATTCTGGGTTCTGCTTTGTAACATCTTCCATTCACATTTACAAAGGGTACGTTTTCTACCAGCTAGTTAAAGATCTGGATGAAAACCATGCTAGTGAGTGAAAGGAGGCCTCAGATTATACTTAATTGAAGTATTTAACTTTTAAAGAACACTGAACTATGAAATTCTCTCTCTCTCATAAGAAGAGCTACATTTAATCTAAGGCGGCTGTGCACACGCTCAAGGGAGACCCTTCTTTCTGCCTGCCCACACTCAGGTTTTTTATGGACACAATACTCCCTCCTTACTGGCCACATACTCTTGGAAAGATCCTTTTTGAAAGTTGCACTTTTTTTTTTTTTTTTTGTGTCTGGGAACTGAAGCTGTTACTGTCTAAAAAGTGAAGAAGATTATGTCCTATGGCAAGAGAAAGAGTTGTGGACCGCCAGCTGGGAGTCAGGACCATATCTAAGGCCACTGTTGGGGGAAACAACTAGACCTGTCTTCTAACCCCATTGTGATGTTACAAGACATTTCCTGATTGCTTTCCAGTCTCTGGAAGTGAATTCTTTAGCACTGAATACAGACAGAGAAACAATGATGGACTATCAGTCCTCTGAAATGATAGAGAGAATACAAGGATGATAGTGATGATGGTTATGTGCTTTGTTGGTGTAATCAGAGTCTAGCTGACTGCTGACTTTGGAATTTGGAAGGGATTCATGTTCCTGATACTGCAAGAGCTTTGGAAAGAGGGCTACGCCTTGCTCCCCTGGTATACTGTAACATATAACAATTTAATCTACTCTGAATTTTAAAGTTTTTGTTACTGAAATGACTGCGCCTAATACTGGGGTTTGGACTTAAATGCTGTTGAGACAGAAAGTCAGATAAGAATAGTATTATTTCTTCTGCCCTTAAATTCTTTGTCTGTGAACTGGTAGTGGTGGCCATGGCAAAAGGCCAATATTGTCAGGGAGAGAAGGTCTTTCCCTCGCCCCAGCTAATGCCCCTTTCTGTCAAAGTATTCCCTTCTACTCCGATTTTAGTCAGAGATTTTAGTAGATTTGTAGGTAAAAATATCTCTTTACATCTGCATACATTTGGAGTTTTGTTCAAATTTCTGAGTCAACTAATTCTGAAATACAGCTGCTCTAAGAAAGGCAAAATTGCCCGTCTTTGAATTTCAATCTTTTTTTTCAGTAGAGGAGGGTTTGTGTGAGCATTTCCTGGGTTTCAGACTGTGGATCCAATGTACATTCCTCAAAATGACATTGTTACAAGGGCTAACCTCAGGCTAATACACCGATTTTGCTTTGAAGTAAAATTTTAACACTTATTCATAGTGATCATTGGCTTGAAGACTTATTCAAGCCAATGTGTGCTCAGCCAGAAAAAGTTAGTTTTCCAATATGCAAGTCAGATGCAAGTATGTGCAGATAACCTGATGGTACAGGAATTAAGGATGCCATGAGGATGACACGCTGTCTCCTCAACAGACACAGCCCAGAGTACTCTTCCTGCCCGTAGTTCCCTTCTGTCTTGCACATTAGTTGCTTTAGGCTGCAAAGTGCAAGGACTTCTTCTACAAGCCTTCTCCTGAAAGCTGTTTCTTCTGTGCAAGCTGATATGTGAAATTATTCAAATTCCACAGTCATGCTCATGGTTTTACTTTACAAATACTGCTAAGAAAAATAACATAGGTTAAATTTAATGTCACAAAGGAATGGAATAATGAAACCAAGCTGCATTTTGCTAACTGCCTCTCTGAACAGTGCAACTGAATGCATTTAAAGCAAAACAAATTGGTTGGATTTGTGTCTTTGAAAGGATGGTAAAAATGTCATAGTGCATCATCAACCAGACTATGGAATGAAAAGGAAAGCTTTCTGTGTAAAAGGGTGTAAGATCCCTACTGGTTAATACTGCACCAACATACAAACTAAGTAGTTCAACAAAAATGTTCAGATCATATTGGGATATTATCTTCAATAATAATAATAATAATGAACCCATATGGTATATGTACTCTCAGATTGACCTTCTTGGCCAGTTCCTAATATTGGCCTTCTTGTTTCTATGAAATGAAAACCAAACCTGGCGTCTTCCTTTAATTTTTCTAAATGTGATCCAACTTGACCACTTCTGTATCTTTATTGCCATTTGATTACACTGACTTTATTAATGCTGAGTTAGTATTGACAAGGGAGGATCTTGTGCTCTTCCAGAATATCAATGCACTTCTCTTTAAATATAAGAAAACCAGTAAATATAATTTAAAAGTAAGGAGCACATCTTTTTTCCCCACTCACTTTAAGTTATGTTCCAACAAATCCATTGCAGACAAAGTAACAGTCAATTACTTCTGCAAAGGTATATTGCTCTCTGATGCCGTTCCTATTTTTTTTTTAACATTAGGATTGTGAGTTTCATCCCTAAAAAAGGTCATCTTTGAAGAAGTTTCACAGACTTTCCTAATGATGCTGCCTAAGTTCTCCTTGGCTCAGAAAGTCTATTATCTGCATCTCCTTGTGTAATTTATCCTCAGCTTTCTGATCTGCATTGCTTCAGACTAGTGGACTTCCATAATGACTCAGAGACCAAACATCTTTATCATACCTCAGAGTTTGAGCCAATAGTTCTCTGGAAAATTAGGAGTAAAACTTGCAGCTGAAGGCAGGGGAGGCACAAGAACAGGAAAGCACAGTGGTCCTCTGCTGTAGTCAGTCTGTGCAGACCCAGATTCTGTATTATGCATTTGGTTTCAGACACAATGAATTACAAAAACACAGTGTGTAAGTCCTGACTGATGAACAGTTATAGCCAGGTCTTATATGGGACAGTGTTTCTAAGTAGGTAGAGAGATGACATTTTTTCCACTGATGCCATCTGGCCATCTAAGCATGACTGCCTGCAATAACGCATCCCTTGCAGTAGATGATTAGTTTATATTGTATTGGAGGTTTGCTCTGGCTTTTCATATCACCTATGGCAAAGGCTCAAAGGCATGTTAGTCCTTGAAGTAACAGTATCTGAAGATCTCTAACCTGTATTTTCCTGTCTATATTTGCAGTAATTGGTTGTATGGTTAGGAAAACACGGTCCTTTAAGCGAGGTATTTACCCAACATTTTCAGATTTTTCACATGTAATGTTCCCTTGGTGAGATAAAAATCTAGCAGAGAAGTGTAGAATTTAACTTGAAGAGTGATTTTTTAAAAGCCAAAAGGGATTGTAAAGCTTTTGGAAAGGGGTTGCTTTGCTGGAATATCTCATGGCAGCCAGCCGATGTTTGCTCAGCAAGAACCCTTCACATACTCTGGTTTCTTTGTTTTGGCTTTCCCTTACTGTCCTTGCAGTTGGATTGTTTGCAAATCTTGGGTTTTTAGGTTTTGGATTTGGTGAAGTGAGATTTTGCATTATATTAACTCCCCTCTGTGCCGTATCATTTCCTCAGGGGCAAAGGAAATTAGACTTCAGATATTCATCTCTAACAGTATCATCACTGCTAGGAAAAGAATTTGGGAATTTCTGCTGTAGATTCTAAAAGTCCCTCTCATAAAATGAATGACTTAAATGAATACTTGATAGTTCAGAAACGCAGGAGATGGTAAGGTACATTTTTTTAAGTATGCTAACATATATATATATAATATGCACAAAACCTATTTAATAATAACACATAGAACTTTAGTTTTTATTCTCAACATTTCTTAGTAATGAACACCATTTTCAATTACACAATCACATATTTTTTCAATAACATCTCTGCTTTACTCAGTGGACCTCAAGGAATGCATTATAGTCATTTGATGTGTTATTCAGCATTGGGTTTTCTCCTTTTTGATAATGCATTCACCTTCTTCCTTATAGTTGGCCATTAGGGCAGCTGATTTTCTTG